GGCTCTCCGAGGTGATAATTCGGTGACGTGACCGGGCCACGATCGCCCCGATCGGTCAACATAGTCCTGTGCCCTGATCAGGTGTTTGACGACTCAATAAAAAGCGGGCATCAGTTGAATTGAGAGATGGAGGATAGGCAAGCACATGAATCGTACAGTGTTCATTTAGTACAGGAATAACCTAGTTTGGGTTACTACATCATTGACATACCCCAGTTCGAAGGTGTTGACAAGGTATATTTGTGGGACTGTTTTGAGCGAGCAAACGTACATATATGGCCCATAACAACCTCCATTTGGCAGGGATCAAAGGGTAAAATTAACAGTAGCATGAGTTACTGGAATTTATGTGATTGGGGGACAGGTACTCACGCATGCAATTGCATATATGTCAGTCAATTATCCAGAAATGTTTTCGGCCAGTTGGCACCGTTAAAGGCTAGTAATAAACTGAAAGAGTTTGGATACCCGTAACAAGATTGTTAGGATGAATGGAATGAAGTGTCGTGTCTGATCAATTGCTTCGGGGTCGTGTAAGTTGTGTTCTTGTATTAAGCCAGATTGATACCGGTATGGTTTCTCTGTTGGGTCATTGAATCCCCACTGCAGATGAGAGACAGCAAGATTGGGGTATACATTGCAGAGGTGACTATTGATTTTTACTTCATGCAATGGAAACAATGATTTAATCGAATCGAGTTCACCCCAACGCATAAAAACTCTTAAGTGAAAATTATAATTACCAGTTTCACGCTAGATAGAATGCAGATTCTATTCTATTCAATCTAGACTTAGGAGGTCCCACGATCATTGAGTTCATTGAATGTAGATGCCTTGATTGCTGTCGTCGTTAAACAATCGATTTCTCGCAAAACGTTGCTGCTGTTCCACTACCCTGAACTTTCGGGGCGGATTGAACGTGCTTACTAACCTCCAGTTCACACGTTGCGTTGATTCGTTGTACGGTGGATACAGTGTGATCATACTGTTCTCCTATGGGGATGACTTGGCCATTTGAGATGTGCAATTAAATTAGAGAGGATGAGCTTAGAAGGGTGTGCTTAACCGAAGGATATGGGGGTGAGAAACGGAAACCTATTAAAATCCTCCACCAAAACCGAGCGTGTAATACAGTCGATGATGCCAAAGAGTTGTACGGGTCCATCGATGCGCACCGTACAGTATGAAACAGGTTTATAGTGCTTCACAGCGCTTCAGTTCACACTTTATTTGATCGGTACTCCACGAAAGTCACCGTATGATTTACATGCTCGTCAAGTTTGTGTCAAGTCATACTGTTTCAAACCACGTCATCCGTTTTAAATTATGGTAAAATAGAGGTATAAAACGTCCACACGAGGATCTTTAGGTGCTTGGAAGATAAAGATACCGCCCGAAGATAGCAATATATTCCAGTATACTTGATTTAGAAATCAAATGCTGATAGAAAGTAGGTGATTTAGAATCGGGGTACATATGACGCTGATAGACGATTGGTTGCTTCTACCAGACAGATTAAACTGCCCACCGGAATATGGCATACGCCGCGATTCACGGGAAGAGTAGGCACACCACGTCAACCAACAGACAGCAAACTGAATGTACGTTGATGGTACAAATAAATACTTTTCCCAGGATTCGACATGACTAGTTCACATTTAATACTATAAACTTGTTGATCAAGATGTATGGGAATTCTATTGTTTAGTTTAACAGTGTTTGCTTGTGTATATTATTATGCACACATGCAACAATTAGATAGCAAACTGCGTTCGAAATCTCTGCAAGAGCATGATGCTACTGAAGGAAGTGGGACGGGTGCTATTGCAAGAATAGCCAGTATACTAGGCTGTGATGGGGTTTGGTCAATTCTGTGAGGAAATTGACTACCGACCATCACAACTCCGGTTGCAATCCCAATGCTTTGAAAACATCAGATTGCCAGAGAAGAAATGTGATAAACAGGACTAGTGTAAGTGACTCGCCTAAGGTAGCTGTCTGCTTGGGAGTCCAGTCAGGCACAGGCACAATAAATACATGCAAAATAATATGAGACAAATCAAATGGGAGAACCTGAAGCATGAACTGAGACGAAAGACTTCTCAAAAGTTTGACTCAACTCGGACTTGTATCTGAGTAATAAAATAAAAGAAAGAATGTTATGCGAGAATTAGTTGAGAGTAAATGAAATGAATACTGACATATTTGTGGTGGTAATGCGTAACCGCTTCGTCATAACCAGAGGTAATCGCACCCGTTTAAAATATTGGGAATGCCATTGGGAATGAAGTGGATTAGAGTAGATCTACAATATANTATATATATATATATATATATATATATATATATATATATATATATATATGTATATATATATTCATCTCAATAACCTCATTTGCAGCACCGGGTAAATTTGTCTGGACAGCTCTTTCAGAATCAGTCCATTGGTGCATCCATACTATGATTGTAAAATATTCAATAAAGATGCTTAAGTTGCGTCTAATTCTCCTACAAATCATCGAATCATAGTGTTAATTCTTCAGTGGAGTGGTTCTGAGAGAGCTATCTGAACAAATTTACCCGGTGTCATAAATAAGGTTATTGTGACCAGAATATATTTCCTGGATATAAGTATATAAATGAAGTGAATAGACTACCGGAAACGCATACCTGACGAGCTGCAAGAACCGTGAAACCGATCGTTCGCTTTCAGGGCAATCATGTTCAATCATTCATATACTACTTATTGTAATATATACATATATACATACATACATACATAATGTACAGAGTTTTGGAACACCACTGCAAGGTACAACATCTGGTATTGTCATACAGTGTCCTGACGTACACCGAACTTAGGCTCGGGCGGAACAGATTGTGTTTTGAAACATCTTGACGATAGACTTGATATCGATAAAGTTAAGAAAAAACCCGGGCTCTTTTCTGTTACCATGTATAGGAGCTGGCGGAATTTTGCCTGCATTCAACAAAGCTGATAAAGTATTCGTGATTGCCAAAGCTTTCTAACCCAATCATCAATTGAACAATGCGATTCGCCCTATCTGATAACCTTTCGGATTCACGTAAACCTTGAAGTGGTGATAGTGGATCTTTGGTTTACGGACGGTACGGCCATTCTTGCCGGGGATCA